TCCCCCTTGACTATTCTCTTCTTTTCTCTCCTCTTCTCTCTCTTTAGTCTTCTTTTACTCATTTATTCCTTTGGCAGAGTTACGAAATGCCATTTTTCAATACCTGAAAACAGAAAAGAATAAAAAAGACAAGACGACGACGACAAGGACAAAAAATAAAATATCGCATTTCTTCCCGTTTTTCTTTTCTTACCGTTCTGAGCTATACAAAGTACCGACAAACAAACGCTTTTTTAATAATAATAATTTTTTTTTTTTATAGCAAATAACGTTTAAAACTTTTCTGGGACTTTTTGAAAGCTGAGGACTGGATAAAAGACGTAAAAACCCATTTAAAGTCTGGAAAAATTATAAAATTATTTCCCTTAAACGTTTTTTCGTTTTCCCTCCTCTCCCCCTTTCTTTTTTTCTTTCCTCCCCACCCCCCATACCCCTACCCCTTTCCTCTCTTTTAACGTTACAGATACCGGAGGGAGAAAAAAAAACAGGTACAAAAAAAAAAAAAAGAAAGGAAAAACTCACTCATCGGATCCACTTCGGCTGGAGGACCAAAATCCGGTGCTTTTTGTACGATTTCTTTAGCTTCGGACACATCGATCTTGTGCGGACTTTTATTAACGGTTAAATTCTTGCTGGAAAAAAAGAAAATTCCAAATGATTTATTCTGAAATATAAGAAGAATTGAAATTCGAATAACGTTTATCTTTTTTATGTGTCATCTTATAATTAATTTTTACCAAGAGATTTCTCCTTCTCCAGTTTCCGACTGTACCAACGCTTTCCAAAAATTATGAACTTGTTCGACAATGTTCAATGCGAAATCCCGATTTTTCGCTTCTCCGTTGAACGCGAATTGATTTTCAGGTTTACCATCAGGTATCTTGTATATCTTGAACCATTCGACGGTCGCTTTCATGAGTCCCGGGAAAAATATTTCGACGTCTTTTAAATCTAATTTTTTTTTTTTTCCCCCGATCGTTCGTAGAATCCACATGCAAAGAAAAACATATTATTATTAATTCATTCGATGAATGAGTGAATGAATGATTGATTGAATGAATTTACAAACCGTTAACTTGTCCCGCAAGCGGATCTTTGGAATTTATCGATATTAATTTCCAGTCCGTTTCCCCCTCGTCTATTAAAGCTATGCAACCTAAAATTTTTACTTCCAGGACTTCGCCTCGTTTTGCTATTTTCGAACCGATTTCTAATACGTCGATGGGATCGTTGTCGCCCTGGAAAAAAAAAAAAAAAAAAAAAAAAACAAAAACATTTTAGTAATAATAATCATCATCATCATCGCGATAATAATAATAATAATAATGATTTTCCAGTGCGTTAATCACCTTTCAATCAATCATTCATTCATCGCCATCAACATCATCATCATCATCATCATCATCAATTTGTCAAATGGGAAAAGCAATCGTTAACCCGTTCCGCCCCCCCCCGTTACCCCCTCCGAGGTTGGAAACGTGGCAGCAGACGACCACGTTCGTTCGCGTTTAATTTATTATAAACGCACGTAACGAATCGAATTTTTTTTCTCTAATGGTAATCATTATCATTATCGTGCATTCATTCACGCGTTTTAACCGTCGCAAAAACAGTTATGCCAACAACGACGATAAAAAAAAGTAAAAATAATGATAATGATAATGAAATATGCGATTAACGAATATTCATTAACGATTAATAATAAATACGCAAACACGCACGCACACGCACACACGCACGCACGATACAAAAAAACGGGGAAAAAAAAAATTCAAATTATAAAAATTACTTTCCTCTTTCCCCGGTTCCCGTTTAATAATAATAATAGTAATAATAACAATTATTTCAAGCAATAAAAATATAATATCGCGTGATAATATATATTATATCGAAAAAATACCGTGTAAATATATAGGTAAATAAATAACGATTATTAAATGACGTATGATGCAACGACGTTCGTTTGCGTCGTCCTTTTCAAATTATCCGCCATATTGTTTTTCTATGTTTGCTCGTTGGTACAAAAGGAAGAACAAATGAATTGAATTGATTTAATACGAACCTTACAACCTGTCGAATCATCCAAATGCGATGGATTTTCCCACGTTTGTGGAATTGCACCGTAATTCCATATGTATCCGTGATGTGGAAAACAATTTGCAACGAATCTGACTTTTCCCTTTTTAACATCTTGCTTAATAGGATTCAACGGTTCCTTGAGATTTATCTGTAACGGTTTTTTTAAACGTTAACGTTAACAATTTCACTTTGCGTATTATTCGATTCTATTAACTTATCACAACAACCTGATAAATGTGTGTGTTTTTTTTCGCACGTGTCAAAATAAAAGATTAACGACATTTTTTAAAGTAAAATTTTAAATTATAAAAAAAAAAAAAATTTGAATTTGAATTTCAACATGCCGACAACACGCCGACATTTACTAAATTGACTGCCCTGCCTCTGGTGGTGAAAAAAAAAATTTAAAAAAATTGATTGATGATGAGTGATTTTTAGAAAAAAACAATAACGAACGACTTGAACCAAATTAGAAAAAGGTAAAAAGGTAAAGAAAAAAAAAAAAAATCTGGAAAAATTAGATTAAAGTCACGGCCGAATTTTTTTCATATGGAAAAAAAAAAAAAAAAAAAAAAAATGACGTTGTCAAAAGAAAAGAAAAACTGGAAATTTGTACTTGAAAAATAATAAATAACCCTGAACTATTTGTAATTTACAATGAATAATTACAAAATCAAAAAAAACCATCAAAATGAAATGAAAAATTAAAATATATGAAAGTTTTTTATTGAATCTACACTTACACTTTTATATAAATTATTA